ACTTCAAGTTTTATTCCTTGCGTAGTTACAATATCTAAAACAGGCTCTGGTGTCTTTTTAGCTTTTGAAAAGAGCATTACCTTGGTTTTATCAACATTTAAAAGAAGCTTTAGTTCAGAGAGCTGAGTCTGAATAATGTTAAAAACAGCTTGCAATTCAACAACAGCCTCCCTACTTCTTTCTAGGCAGGCTGATCTGGATTACAAACATATGAGGTGAAGGACAATTGATTATCGAGTAATTTCTGGGGTCTGTAGAGAGGGTTTGATGGCATTATGGTCTTTTCCTGTTTGATCTGACTTTAGTTATGATAATTTAGTACCATTCACAGGTGACACAAAATAAATGGACGGGTGATTCATTGCTGTCATAGCTACCTTTGCAGTTGAGCAAGAAAAAGCTCATGTTGTGGCTGAAAGACCCACTGATGTAATCACAGCTGTCAGGCAAGGCACATGACAGACAGCGTCGATTGAATGAACCAAAGGTGTCCGCGCTATGGAGCAAAGAAGATGACGTTTAACTTCTAAATCTAAATCAGAAAAATGGTATCAACTTTCAAAACAACAATTCTTGACACTAAAGACTAGACTGTTACCTGTATAAATGTCTTCGCTTAGGACCATCCTCAGTGCTCAAGAAGTATCTACATAGATATAACAGAGAAAAAAATGTAATGTAAGCAGATTTGAATCAAGCTTTAACAAGAGGTTATCCCTCAGCTTGAGGAGTGGGAAAAGGCACATGGAACACATTAGCAGTTACCAAACTACTAATTTTCATAAATGAATGATGGAGTAAAAATGACAGATGAGTCAAGAGGTTTTGGATGTTGTTGTTCTAAAGTAACTTTAACATTGTGTATACATTAGGGTGAATGCAGCTGTGTGCATGTGAAACCATGTAAGTGATGGAGATGAGTCACAACTCTCATGGGTTCAAAAGAGAAGCAGGGTGATTTTACGCTGTGTACATTTGGAGAGGTTTATTTTGTCGAACTCTACAAAATGCTAGAAGAACACAATTTGACTATAAAGCTGCATTCACATGATACGCAATTTGCGTCATCGCAACGGCGCACAGCCTTGTGGTGAAAACATTCATATTATGATTATAAAATATATATGATATATGTTAGGCTAACATTATAGAAAATAGGAACAGGTTTGTTGTTAATGTTTGTGCAGGCCAAATCTCAAATAATGATAAAACCATCACTTTCAGACTTTTGTTTGATAATAATAAATGTAAAGAATGTATACCTACATAAAGCAATAATATAATTATGACATCAAGATGTGAGGATGGTGGTGATGCTGGTTTGTTTTAACTGATGCTGGTGGTGGTTTGTGGGTGCTCACATCAATTGGCTGTCCTCATTATAGGCCAGGACTTGGGTGACATCCCAGTCTCCAGACGTGATGGACTGTAGTGTGTCTGTACTGGTGTTGGGCTTTGGAGATAAACAGAAGCATTGCAAACATTGCAGTATGTTTATTGAATGGTGATAACTTCATCTAAAAACAATGCAAGTTTTGACGATATTGTTATAAATGAAAATAAAATAACACAGGCTAGTGGGGTATTAAAAGTTGATGTAACGAAGTAATAAGGTTTAGCAAAATTGCATAAAACAAACATTTTGATAATATTGAAGTCACTGTTAATTAAGGTCCAACATATGGATTACTTATACAAAAACACTGGATAATAAACATAGTAATGTGACTCTTAACATACTGTATAATCTTACCTGGGAGATGGACATGGAAATGTGGAAGAACTTTCCCCTGCCGCCTTGAGGAATGGCACGGGTGAAAAACAATTTCAGCCCATCTCTGGAAAACAGAGGTTTCTCATTCTGAGGACACAGAGGAGATCATTCATACATTTTACTTTATGAAACATAGAGTTTACAAAAACATATTGAAATGGATTGGTAAATGCAAAAAGTGCACAAAAAAGTCCCCCATTACAATTCTGTACTAAAGCTTGCACAATTATGTATAATTTAAGAATGTTATCAAATTGCTTTGCCAAACATAAGAATATATACATAAACTTAACTTAATTCCAGAAATTAATAGTTCAATATAAGCAAGTGCGACATAATCAATAACTCCCATTATAAATAATAAGAGTCATTATTCTTACCTGTCTGTGGAGCCATCCTTCACTTTCATCCTCATGTTTCTGTAAAACAGGGTGTTTTATTTAGTGTATGAAAACATCCCAGAGTTCATTTGACACCCACACACCCACACACACAAACCTTTGTGCAGACGCCTGTTGTGGCCTCACACAGAGTGAGTATAGAGATGTTCTGGGCTCGGTTCAGCCAGTTGATGGCCAGTTTGGTGGTGGTGGCCCATCTCACCATGGTCACATAGTACTCACTGACAAACACAGAAAAAAAAAAAACAATCACTGACACAAATATGTTTGACAGTGTAGAAAGGGATGTCCCATTATGGTTTCTAGCAGAAAATGTTTGATGTGAGAGCAACATCTGAGCCACAGAAAGAAAGGAATACAAAAATTAACATTACTACGAACAGAGTAGGGCATTAAGTGTATTTGTGCTAATTATGGGACCATTTAGTAAAAATATGTCAATGAAGTAATTAAATGTACAGAATCTTTTCACGAGAAAAAAATGCTGTTACAAACATCATTAGAAGACTCAGCATCAGTAAATGAATATATGGAGAGAGATTAAACACATGATAGAATATATGAATTTAAATTAAATATGCATGAGGTGTAAATATGCATCACTTGACTGAATGCAGATTGATCTGGTTGATAGTTGAATGCCTCACCCCATCCTTGGATCATCAGGTCTCCTCATCTCGATGGTGTGAAGTGGGCCATTAAGATTCACAACATACAAGGTTATAACAGGGTTCTCCTCACCAGCCTTAATGGGAGAAGGAGAAATTAGATATATAACATCTGAAATCTAAAGAAAATATGTATTCTAAAAGGGAACAACTGTGCACCTTAGGGTAGTGGTACTCTTTTCCTGTTGGGTAGGGTGTGCCTGTAAACATGGGCAGCTCCATCCTGGGCACCAGGGTGTCATTGATGGTGGCGTAAGCTAACCTGGCACCATCAGGGGACCACCAATGGGCAATTTGGGACTGGAAAATCTCCTCTGAAAGAATGAGAACAAAATCAACCTCAATCATAATGATAGTGATTTAAAAAATCTCAGGCAGCAGAGACACATGTTGATTATATTTCTTCCAGGCAACAGAATCATATTAATGTTGCTTCTGAGGGTTAAACAAATGAATAGGTGGAATGGGGAAAATCTATTTTAAAATGTATAAAATGGTATCATCAGTAGTATTATTTATCTTAGCCTTTCTCTTTGTTCACAGAAGCTCGTTAAATTACTCATGCATGCATGTTAGCAGAATCATAAAGGATTTATAGATGTTATGTTGAGAAGTTTTTGATTACACAACAGTCAACAATACGGTATGAACAGTTGCTTGAGCAGTACAAAGTGTCGAAACCCACAGTACCCAGTGACAGAAGAAAAATGCCAGATAATCATAAAACATTTAATCAAATACTGCTAATACAGTTACTGAGTTATTGAATCTCCTCTTAAAAGGACACAAATTCTAGCTAAATGTGGCAAGGTTTACATAAACCCTTTGAGCATTACAGTTTACTAACTCTTCCCTGACTTGCTATATTTTTTCCCTCTCTATCTCTCTCTTAAACCTACCAGTATCAAATATTGAGGTCATAAATCACAACAACTCTTAATCTTAGCGCAGCCTATCGTCCAAAATAGATCACAGCAAGATTTCCTACAAATGAAACAAATTCTCTGCTGGTACAACTTCGTCTTTTTTTTTAAAGCAAGAAACTCACGTCGCCTTCTTTCTCAACTTGCAATTTAGAGGGTTCCTTTGAGACCCTTTATGTGCAGGTGTGTATTTAAAATCATCTTTTATCACGCATTCTCTTGTTCAGAAGACAGAGTGGAATTAATATGGATAAAAGCAGTCTTTGTCCTTCATCTCTATTATTACACACGCACGCACACACGCACCATTTATTGAGTAATTATGCTAATTAAAGCTCACTGAGGGAACTTTTTGACAACAATAAGCATAGTCGTGACAATTCTAATTCATTATTAAGTCTGTGGCGATGACCTAAAAAAAGCTTTACTTATTGTCGCAGCTTGCCACTAGCTATACTTATTGCAACTTTTGCAATTAAAATTCCATTAATGTTGTTTATCTGTGGAACTGGGTGCTAGCTTCAGGGAATTAACCGACATCAACAACCAATTAGCATTTTCATTAACTATGCACGCTTGGTGGAATTACTTAATACACAGCATCATCTGACAAACAACTTCAGTGCATATGTATATCTACATTTTGTTCTCTCATACAATTCTGCTGAAGTAATTGTGCATGGAGTATAATTTCACTGCAGGACACTGCTAAACTAATTAGAACACCACACTTCTCTATCTGACATGAGAAGAAGATGGATTAATGGTAGCATTTGGTCCTTTGGTCCCCCTTCCCGCCTGGTGTTTCCAACTGCACCCTGCTGGTAGAGCTCAGTGGGGAATGATTGGACCACACTGTCTGGTGATAAACAGAGCAGCACGGCATTATGCTGCATTTGCAAATGATACAAAAATATTTCCTTTATGGCTGGTTCTGGTGCTGCTTGCTGACCTTACCAGCAGCAGCTTAAAAAGCGAGAGCTCTTTCCTGTTGGATTCGCTCGGCTGGGGACACCAAGTCACCTTGGCTTGTCAAAGAGAAAATAGTTAATTTTCTAGAAGCGTTCCAATATGTGCCTGACAATAAAAGAAAAATGAGTGAACAAAAGGGATAGAAAGTTAGTGAACTCTTTTTGATTAGATAATTCATTCTCTTTCTCTTAAGTAATGACATAGTCTCTTCTTTATCCATCCCCTCATTGTGATGATTACCAAGGTGAGCTATTGGAGGCATTTATCCTCTCTCCATGTTCTCCATCCTTCTATGCAGACTAAATAATTCATTGTGTAAAGGACACATGCTGTATTAGTGCATGAAATACCATGATTAAATTGGCAAATGGAAATTAATTTAGTGCAGATACAGGCAGACTGATAATTATAAGTTTTCTTGCTATAAGTAAAATAATGTATGTTAGTATTACTAAACACCAAGAATCTGTTTGGACAAAAATGATCAGTGTTCCTGTATTTACAATGACAACATATTGTATATCCAGTAGAGGGCAGCAGCGTCACATCCATAAAGTAAGGCAGACCTACAGTATAGCTCAAAGCTCAGCATTGCAGAAATCTTGGGTGTCATTTTTGATCAAAACCTAAGCTTAGACACCATTTTTTTTGATCGATTCTCTTTGTGTTTAAAATGTGATCTGTTTTACCGAAAATAATAATAAAATAATTTTGTCAATAGGTTTAAAACAAGCAACATAAATAAAGTTGATATGTATTATAGCACAGAAAGGAATGCAGCCATTCTTTTCAGGTATTAATGTCTGATGCATATTTTATGTCAATTCTATGGTTTCTGAGTTTTGCTCCTTTCCTTATGTTCTGAATATTCATAGCCTGCAGTCAACCCAACCAATCAAGAACAAACACAATCCTGGCTAATTGTTCATGAACAATTATATTATTCAACTGTCATATTAAAAACTAAATGTCAAAATTCTAGAACATGTAAATAAAAAAAGTTACCAGTTCTACCCTGGCAGACTGAAGAGTAGGTTAGAAGACATAAGACCCCTTTTTGTATTTTTTTAAAAATACAAAAAAATATATTTTAAAACAATGTTACACAAACACACATACACGCATACACACACCCTCACATTGCACCAGTATTAAAAGCATAGGCCTACAAATAAAATAAATAAAACAGAAATAATTTCACAGTTTCTTTTCAGAGGCAGTCCAGATTCCCATCCCTCATAATGTGCATATATGGCTCCCAGAGCTGAACAAAGTCCTTCCGCTTGCCCTTAGCGATGTAAGTCAGTCTTTCTAGAGACCAATACTTCCAGAAAGTTCCTTCAACCAAATCCTCAGTGATGGGGCATCCGTACATTTCCAACATAAAGCGATAGCCCTCCTGGCTTGTAGTAGGCCAAAATCCAGAAGTTTGTTTTGTTTTGAAGTCTGTTTGAAGTCCTTTGGATATATTCCAAGCACACAAAGTTTGACGTTCAAAGGGACATTAATGTTAAACATCTCTAACAGACACCTAATAACATCCTTCCAGAAGATTTTAATTTGTGGACATTCCCAAAGACAATGAAATAAAGTTCCTTTCTCTTCCAAACACTTAGAGCAGACATCTGGAATATTGGCAGATATATGATGAAGTTTGACAGGAGCCCTGTTAACCATTTATACTGAAGTAATTTGAACCTAGTATAATTTGAACCAAGTATTTATTGTCTGACCTTGTTTTTTTAGGCAAGCAGCATTCCAATCTTCCTCATCAATATCCTCTTTTATATCCGTTTTCCATGCACTTAAAAAATATTATATCATCTGCGTATAAAGAAATGCGATGTTCTATTCCCCCAAGAGGAATGCCTGATCATTCTGTATGTGCTCTAACGGCCATAGCTAAAGGTTTGAATGCTAATGTAAATAGCAGTGGAGACAGAGGGCAACCCTGTCGGGTAGATCTTTCTAATTTAAAGGGTGCCGAGATAGTGTTGTTAGTTAGGATCTCAACGGTTGGGTTTGTGTATAGCAGTTTAATCCATTTCAGAAGGGTTTCACCAAACCCGAATCTTGGAAGTACTTCAAAAAGATAAGTCCATTCAATCCTATCAAATGCTTGACACGCATCCACTGAAAGCATTGCTGTGTCCTTCGCGTTATGTTTCTCATGTAGTATATTTAAAACTCTTCTGATGTTGTGAAATCCCTGTTGTTTTGTCTATTCTGATTTGTATACCAATTTATAAAAGTCTCTAAAATGATTATTTATCTCTTCTGGGTCTACAGTTAAGTTGCCAGATACTGATTTTATACCATTTATTGTTCGTTCTGCTTGCATTTTCTTTACTCTCCAGGCCAGTAGTTTACCCGCTTTTTCCCCTTGATCGTAGTACGTTTGTTTAGTCCACATAACGGCTCTTTAGCCACTCTGTCACTGTTAACTTTTATGTAACTAGCTTCTCATGACAGATTAGATTCACGTAATCTTTCAGGATCATTGTTGACAGTACATTTCAGTTCTCTGTTTCTTAATTTTGTTTTCTAATGTTTGTAATTCTTGATTATGCTGCTTAGATTTAGAATTTGTAAAACTGATCATTAGCTCTTATATAAGCTTTAAATGCTTCCATTAATGCTGGGCTGGAAGTTTCTCATCTGTATTTTAGTTCAAAATAATTGTCATGCAACTTTCACAAATGTAACAAAGTCTGGGTCTTGAAGTAGATAAACTTGTAACCTCCATCTTGCGTGACGTTCAAACTTGCCTAAATTGACTCTCGATAAACAACTGTTTGCGGGTCACTTATTATCAATACACTGTAACTACAACTTTGACCTGGAAAGAAGTTCCGCACAAGTTAAAAAAATAATAAATGCCGTGAATGAGTTTTATATGAGCTTGCAATAGCAAAGAAAATTCCTCTTTATCCGGGTTCAAGTTCCTCCACAACTTCACTTAACCTTATATCCTTCGATTATGGTCTAAGCAGTTGTGTTTCCTTGTTTGCACGGATGAGTCATATCAACCATTGGGGTTGTTAGATCTATCAAGGACGTGGATCAATGAAGCACAATTAACAGTTCTCCTCCTCATAATATAAGCCCTCCAAAGCAGACAGAGTTAGAAACAATCTTTCAAAGAATGAGGGTTTATTCCTCATTCGGCATAGTCACTTATACAATAAAAAGTTTGGACAAAATATTGCCTTGGACAATAATATACCTTCCATGTGGTCTTGGATAGTTTTTATAAGTGAAATGGTATCGATTTGTGTAACAGAGGGTAACCACAACCTCGTGCATAAGTACTATGGGAAGAATAAATTACTTGGCATGCCACCTTTTGCTGTTAGATTTTAGATTTAAGATATTTTACCCTGTTTTAAAACTGCTTCAATTTAGCCAATTTTTCTGATTCCCCGGATGTTCCAGCTTGTAACTTTAAAATAT